TCCTGGCGGAGCAATTGCACTTGATCTTTTCTTTAAAAGTGATATCAAACTCCGTATTATAAGCATTTACCTCTCATTTACAGATATGCAGAAACGCAATGAAACACAAAATAAAGTTATTGCATGGATTCAACAAGCCTATCAACTCAACCTTCATCTAATTATACTTGGTGATTTTAATACATATGATAATGTTTTCAGTACATCATCTAAATATCGTCTTATCAACTATCTACATTATACTAATTGTCCGGAGTGAAGCGTAAGACTCTTACTTCTACGTTAAGTGATAACTGAAACTGCATTTTTGATATGTTTATATTGAAATTATCAAAAATGTAGTTGTGGCATTTTCCGTCTGTCACGCCGCATATCTATATTTGATTATTTGTGAACCCACAACATTGTTTTATGCGTTTGTACACACAATAAAGTTATTATGCAGCCAATTAAAAGCGGTATAAGTTTAATTATTACCTGTTATATATAAACTTTTGCTTTTTACACTAGTTGCCAGGATCTAAATTTCTTTCGTGCCTATGTAGACTTATTAAAGCTTTTCGCTTTACTATGCTTTTGAGTACGCACAGTGAAAGTTATTCTGCAATCAATCAAATGCTATAAAAATTTAACTACTCTGATTTTTACTCTACTTCACATGAACTGTCTTTCTTTCTTAACTATTTATTTAACTATGCTTTTGGTACTATACTGTTACTACAATTTATTAGAAAACTGACAGCTTATAGAGGTATTTATTATATTATAACTTGAATTACGTTCGTGTACAGTATTATTATATGCTCCGGATCCTCTATAAGCATCAAACTAACTAAACTTTATTAATTGTAGTTTATGTGCTTGATCGTTACTGTAACGACGTATTCAACCTATATGATGAGTTTTTTATTTTATACTTAATGAATTTTTGAAATTTCATAATATCGACACTTACTTAACTTCTTAGATTTTATACAGCTATAGAGCTATGTATTCTTTTTCAAAACGTGTTATATTCATTAAAGCTTTTCGCTTTATTATGCTTTTGAGTACGCATAGTGAAAGTTATTCTGCAACTAATCAAATGCTATAAAAATTTAACTACTCTAATTTTTACTCTAATTCGCATGATCTGTCTTTCTTTCTTGACTATTTATTTAACTATGCTTTTGGTACTATACTATTACCACAATTTATTAGAAAACAGACAGCTTATAGAGGTATTTATTATATTATAACTTGAATTACGTTCATGTACAGTATTATTATATGCTCTGGATCCTCTATAAGCATCAAACTAACTAAACTTTATTAATTGTAGTTTATGTGTTTGATCGTTATTGTAATGACGTATTCAACCTACATGATGACTTTTTTATTTTATACTCAATAAATTTTTAAAATTTCATAATATCAATACTTACTTAACTTCTTAGATTTTAAACAACTATGGAGCTATGTATTCTTTTTCAAAACACGTTATATTCATTAAAGAATATCAATATTGGATGTCTTTAGATGGTTTGCACCTTAATCATTTCTTTATCATACGATTGTCCAAATATACCAGGATCAGAGTTTTCCGTAAGTGAAAATGTAGAGTATGGTTTACCAAAATGTTTCAGGATGTTCATCTACAAAATCTTGCATTTAGTTGGTTGCCACAGTTGGCTATGATTTCTAATATGTAAAATCGAGGTTGCTTTTAATTGATGTAGCTATTTAGTTACTATTGTAACCAAATAGTGTTAAATTTTAGTTGCTTGACTGTTTGTATGCTACATCTTTGCATTTAATGATTGGTTTTATGAAAATGTTTAACTGGCATAGCCAATGTGTGATTATGCCACATTTTGCACAACCATTTAGTAATTAGTGATTAATGTTTCTATTTGCATCAGTTTATATTAACGTATATTATACTATGATTAAATTAACATAGTGAAAAGTTTATTATGCCATTCTATTCAATCAATAATTTGTTTATAATAATAATGTGAAAATATGCACTTACCAGGGTTATAAAATTATAATATTTTCATAATCTCTATGTAGATAAATTACTATACCTTCAAAAATCACCGAACAACTATGCTTATATTTGGTGTTCATTGACTGTCTACTATCCGAGATATTCCGATATTCTTATAATTTTAATACTAGCCATTTTATAGTTCTGATATGTGAAATTCACAATCGCATATGCTATGCGCAGATTTTGCAACTAGCTATTATCTAATTCGCTAATTCTATATATTATATCTAACATATATAACCTGTATAACAAATCCAAAATATCTAACACATCTAGTGAATAAAACATTTATAATAATACATATTTAATATATCAGTTATATATGTTAAATTTGCTGATCTTTTCTAGCCCACCTCGATTTGCTACTCCAAAAAAAATTACAATTTACCCCTACACAACGTTCATCTCTAATTCTTTCATATTCTCTATTTTATCTACTAAACTTTTTACTTATATTATTATAATATTTATATATCTTCCTAATATACTATATATATATTTAAAATTACTATAATATCCATACATAATTTATTCATATTTAAAATATCAACAATTTAAAAATTATAAAATCTACGATACATATCATATGGGCAGATTTTTTTGTATTACTTTCAAAAACAATCTAATTCTGGTCAAATTTGCAAATTATTTGGCCCTGGCTTATCAGTTTTAAAACTGATAAACCAGGGCCAAATAATCTGCAAATTTGATCAGAATTAGATCGTTTTTGAAAGTAACACAAAAAAATCTGCCTATATGTGTACATGATAGTTAGTAAAACTCAAATTTTTATCCAAGAAAATATCCAATAATTAAACAACTATTCATAGTATACGTATACATATTAATATAACAAATTACTATATCAGTAACCCTAACATGTGCTGATACTTAAATCATTTCCCGTTCCTGGTTTTGCGTGACTGCATTGCACGGCTACTTTATTATTACTAGTAACAGTTTAAAATTCCTTTAAACTAAATTATTTATTTTATAGCAAGAATACTTATAAACAAATTGTAATATATATTACAAGAAATAGTACATGAATTTTTATTTTTGCATAATTCTATTATTTATAGAGATCTTTTTATCGGGCATATTTTTTTTATTTTCTTTTTTATTTTATTTTCTTTTATTATTACAATTATTTAGATATCATAGATATTAATCGTTCTTTTTCACTTTTTCTCTTACGTAATCTCTTACAATTTTTGATCCTTTGAAGCCTTTCAAAACTGAAGGCTTAAAAAGAATATCAGTGAAAGCTCAGACTCGAGACACTGCCACGAATGAAAGACCAGCAACAAACTCTTTATTTCCAATATCTATCACAGCATTCAGAAGAGTGAGCCCTTGACTCTTATAGACTGTAATAGCCCAGGCAAGGCAAATAGGAATCTGTGTTCGTGAACACAAGATTCCTGATTTATTCTCCCAAGTTCGTTGAGTGAATACTATTAGAACAACGCCCACACCTTCTAAAGTTCTAATAACAGGGCCGTTGTAATTGTCGAAGGCAATAAAGACCGCTACAGGAAGGTAAGGTGGTCCATTCTCATTATACAAAATGTCATGAACAGTCCCTATTGATCTATTTACTAAACCAGCTTCTGTCCATAGATTTGCCGTTAACATAATTCATGCATCTTTGGCTAATAAAGTTGTGCATCGAAACCTTTTGCAATGTCTGAGTTAGCTTTTTTAGCTTCTTGGTCACCTGTATGTGAAGCGAGTATTTTGACGACAGGATGCTTTAAAGATTCAAGTTTATTTAAATTAATTACGTCAACATCAGACCATTTTGTTAATATGAATATAGCATTTGAAAACCGATCACATTTGGTTCGATATTGTTTATCTTCAATACATGTGGTAAGTGTTTTCCAATCTTCAAGTGTAGATTCTCTATTACGTAATCTTAGAAGAATTTCTCTGAAGACCTGTTGCTCTCTAGAATCTCCAGACTGCTGCTGAATAATATCAAGTTTATAAACTTCACGAAACTGACTATATGATATAATACCGCTATTAGAAAATGAGTCTCTTGAAACATTATTTGCATACATAGGAAGGTCAAGTACTGGCAGAAGCTGACCGAAATCTCTGCACATAATAATAGATCGACCACTGAAGGGTTCATCTTTATGTTCAGGAAACGCTTGTTGCAACCGAATATCAATCAGATTGAGCATTCGACGCCCAACCATGCTTTTCTCATCAAGAATAAAGTATTTTACATTTTTTAGCTTTGTTTGTAATCGCTTCAACTGCTCACCATTCAACTCAAAATTATTTTTAATTTGCAGCGGAATGCAAAGTGTTGAATGAATAGTTGCACTGTTAATATTATACGCGGCAACTCTTGTTGGTGCAAGCACAAATACAGGTGGTTCAGATTCATCCCCTGCTATTCTGCAAAGTAAACTTCTAATCGCCCTAATCAAATATGATTTACCCGTCCCTGCTGTTCCCATGATAATGATTCTTAATGGTTCAACTTGAGAACCGGAAAGTATACTTTGGTAATGTGTCTCTATTCGTTTAAACACTTTTTTTTGATTTTTATTTAATGTTTGATAGTCAATATTATCTATAATTCTATTTTCTCCCCTCTCTACTCTAGAATTACTAGAAGCTCGCTGAACAAATGTATCAACATCTGTAAGATCATCAATAGAGTAGTGTCGTCGAGCGTCATTAACCCAGTCAAAGTTAATATCCATGTCATGAGATCCCAATTCTGAAAAACTATTTATAACTACATTTGGACCCATTCCTGTTAACCGCATCCAATCAAGCTGAAATTCACCTTCTTCATTTTCAAATTCACTTAATTCTTCCTCATTATCATTCTCATTTTCTACTTCATCCAATGTATCAACTGGTGGACCAAGCAAATCTATTACATTAACATTAATCTCTTCAAGGTGGTGATTATATATACTTGACCATTCTAAAGCATCATTTTCAGTTAACTGTTGAAGACTTCGATGCTTAACGTGAAGAAGAACTTTAATGCGACAAAACTCTTTCCATTAAGGGCTATGGCGTAGGGGTGATGGACGTGGCCATAAACATATAATATTTTCTTTATTGCACTTTATTCAATGACCTTTGACAAATTTATGCCTTAAATAGAGTAAATATAAGGAGAAGTTTTCAAATTCTGATGGTCTATCCCAATATGTCATTAAAGGTGATTTTGATGTTTGTCCTGCATTTCTAACTGACATAAATTCGTTATTTTCATTACTATCAGTGCCGCGGAGCCATTTTGATGCCTTATTATTTAGATTTAGGGAGATGAACGGTTGACTCGAGTGATAAAGCGGGATTCCAAGAAGAATATGACAAGTTTCCTGTGCTGAAATATCATGTTCTGCGACACTATGTATTAATAATAGTCTTTGAACTATTGGTAGTGCTAAGTTATCAGATCTACTTTCAGATATAATCCGATTTAGTATTTTTGAAAATGCAGCAGAATGTGGCTCTGCCTTACTTGCATATTTTGCAATATATTGTAAGGCTGCATGAATGCTTAAGATTGGTTTAATATCTACATTTGCCCGCCAGCCTTGTAATTGAAGTTGACTGTGCGGATTAATATGTGGGTCGTTTCTTGCTGTTACAAGTTCTAGTTCCCCACGACTATCTTCACGCAAGTAAGTGTCTTCACTATTCTCTTTAGGAAAGCCAAATCTACAGATTTGCTGACCAGTTCGATTAACACGAAGACAAGAGTTCATGTTACATTGTGTGTGCTATTGTAACTTATTAATTAGATCAATATAATCTTGTAAATCATCATCTATCTCGTTTTGACGCTTTTGACATGGATGATGATCGGGTATAGACGCATCGAGTCCTGGATTTAATGTAGTGACAATTGAGTTAAGGTATTGTATGACCTTATTCATTGATTGATCGTTATTTTTTATTTGTTCTCATTCAATTAAAGGGGCATTCCGTTTCTTTCCTATACCATGTATATGTATGCTACCACGATGTTGCCACTCAAACCTATACCGCCAGTCTTCTAAATCCCACTGCTTTTTCAATATATCATTAAAAAAAAATCCAAATTGCTTGTTAAAAAACCAAACAGCAATATGAGGATTGTTTATAATATTTTGCCGCCGGCAATTGGCAGAATTTCACCCTTCTACAGAATTTTCTCTTGACTGTATAAGATCGTGAAGTTCAGGCCAGTGTAAATCTGCCGCACTAAAGGTAAAAAATATTAATCCTTGCGAGCCTAATTGTTTGATCATGTCTGTTAGCTCGTGACGCCGCGCAATCCAAAATTGCCGAGTTCCACGCAAACCTACACCAAATCTTATTATTCTGTCGGCTATATATATATCATCTTCGGTAATCATATTTCTTATATCAGTTATAGTAAGTTGATCATCATTTAATCTTTGCTTAACATAAACTTTTCCTTCTTGTAGTGCTCTCCATCGCATCTGGGAATTTAATGCGAAATAGTGCCAACGAGCATGACATGCGAATCTTCCATCCTTAAATTGAAGAAGGTGCTTAAAGTATTCGGCTGGCTTAACTTCTTTAGCATGCTCTGCATAAAAGTCAGCACAACCAGTTGGATATAAAGTCGGGAATGCACTTACAATATATCCTGGAGTTTGAAATTCATTGATAGGTGTGCTTTCAATATGTGGCCACATTACTGGTAGATTTTCAGACTCTAAACGGTCAAGAGCACTATTAATGGCAACTTCCTCATGATCAGTTGGTAGGAGAAAAGGCACAAAGGAATGTATAACATCTTCATCTTCATTTTCACTATTTGAATCATCTATCATTTTATTTGTTTGAAACTGTGGAAGCTGACCATCTATATACTCCTCTTGTGGCAAAGATTCAAGTACTTCATTGTTAATAATAATGTTAGCATAATAATGATTATTTGCTTTTAACTAATATAATGCGTTTGCAACAATATTACGACGAACTAGAAAGTCTCTGAATGCGATATGATTATTTACTGACTGACGACACACAATCAGTATATTTAATGACGATGGATGTCGAGGAAGCCGGGTAGTAAACTCTTGTATGTCTTGAGGAAAATTTATGACATTTCCTCTACCTATGTTGCTCACCACAGAGTTTATATACCGACATTATAGTGAAAACCTGAGCTATCAACATTTCTTCTGTCTCTGTTAGACCTTGAAGCTTTTCAGGTATTTCATCTGGATCTATATTATTTTCAGAAAAAAACTTTTTTGGTAAAGTTCTTTCACCTTTGCAACGATGGCACATTACACCAGAAAGTACTATGGATGGGAAACATTCGTTGCATATAGTGCAGAGGACATATTGAAGCTTACTCATCTTAGTGCGAAATTTTTTCAAAAGTTCTTTTTCGTAATCGCTTAGTGTTGTAGCCGATTGTAACTCGACACTTATTTCCGCGCTATCTTCACTTTGAGAAGTACTACTGATATTTTCACTAACTGGATATATAGTTTCTATATTTACTCCTATAATAGGTCGTTCCGACTCTTGCTGCAAATTAATATTTACCCTTGTATTCTCATTACTTTCACTTTGAAAAGTAGTAGCAGTATTCTCATTGTCTTGATATACACCTTCTATATTTACTATTACAGGTCGTTCTGACTCTTGCTGTAAATTGGTATTTGCCTCTGCTTTATATTGTTTTTTTTCTCTATCGCACACAAGATGTGCCTCATGTTCTTCGGTGGTTTCTGCTACCTTTTTCTTGAGTCTTCTATGCTGATCGTTTGAGAGACGTTTTTGACGCTTTTCAGGTGACTCCTTTTCTCTAGTTTTACGTTGTCGAATTGTATTACTGTAAAAATTCAATTGATTTTTATTTATAAATTGTTTAATTATTAAAGCTATGAAAATTAGTTGATTATTTGATTTTAAAGTTATACCATACCTTTTATCATCCATGTTGAGAAAGTAAGTTGGTAAGTGTGTATTATATAGATAGATAAAGTTTATATGCAATAATAAAATTCCAATTAGCTGTATTTATTGTTTAGATGTCTTTTAAACGCGTAAAAGTCTGCTCTTTTTAAAATTCAAACCCATTGTTTAAATACCTTTTTGCTCAGCGATACCTCCACGCCAATTTTCTACTTTTTCTCAATAGTAATCATATGATACCTCCATGCCAATTTCTTAATTTCCTCATTAATAATCACAGTTCTTCACTTTTAGTCGCGTAGTTATGCATCTCGCCTTAACATTCTTATTCTTATTTCAATAATCATATGATTCTAATCGCATAATTATGCTTCCGCGTAGATTCTATCGGCTTTGTGCATATGGTTACTTCTTTAGGTACGTCGCTTTAACATTCTTATTTCAATATTTATGCCCCGCGTTGATTCCGTTGGCTTTATGCATATAGTTACTTCTTTAGGTACTTCGCCTTAACATTCTTATTTCAATAATTATGCTCCTGCATCGATTCCGTTGGCTTTGTGCATATAGTTACTTCTTTAAGTACTTCGCCTTAACATCCTTATTTCAATAATTATGCTCCCGTATTGATTCCATTGGCTTTGTGCATATAGTTACTTCTTTAGGTACGTCGCCTTAACATTCTTGTTTCAATAATTATGCTCCCCACGTCGACTCTGTTGGCTTTGTGCATATAGTTGCTTCTTTAAGTATGATCCAAGTCTTTGCTATGTGATGTATTTTCTATTTTTATTTAATTGCTGCATAATTTGATCTTTTTTTGGTTCCTTTGAGCATTGCCAAATTTGACCATAGGCATATATTATTATATATGGAATAACATGAAATAAGAAAAGAAAGAAAAAAAGTATCTAGACCGTGATAACGCTTCAGGTAAATCACTTTAATTGCTACATCTAGAATATGACGATGTCTCACTATAGCATTTCTCTAAAATTTTGAACCTACATCCTTAGTATGAAAAATACTTCTGCTTAAGAGATATTCAGATATATAATTCATTTTTTACAAGTATCGATATAACCAGAGGAGTGTATACTAGTTTCTCTTCTTTTATATCTCATGTATTATAAAGTATGTACGCATCATTCTGGCTATATCGTGGCATTGGGGTGTTCGATGCACTATGTAAATCAAATACATGTATAGTCCTATATTTATATGATATACCCGATTTTTTTCCAATTATACGTAGTACAGTAAGTAACATTGACACTTATTTTTTTTAACGGTTGAACTTTTCGAATTTTTATTAATAA